CATTTTGGAAGTATTCGGCGGTCAGTCACCGAACTGAACACCACGCATGCACGGAAAAGAGAGCGCATCCCTTTTGCTGCTCATGTTGATAAAGAAATTCTTTTGTGTATTTGTTTGTGTATTCGTTATACTTGGTATCCTAGCAATATGCTTGATTACTTTCCGTGCAGTACTAATAATGTCCTTATTATTGCCTGAAGGATTCCGAAAGACGGATCCCTCTCCTGCTTCACATGGATCCTACGAAAAAATGCTGAGTATGCTGGCGGTGACTTCTTTGGAACAGTTGGTATATGTTTTAGTCACCCACGTGCCTTGGATGTGCGAATACCGCTATGGAGGATGAATGGCTTGATGAATGAGCTTCCTGCCGCTGAACAATGGGACGAGGCTATGGAAGAGAAGATGGTGTGTTTCACCGCAAAGTCCTACATGGGCTAGCGAATATACGAGATGCGGTGCGAGAGTTTCGTGAGGAGTGTTTTAGGGTAAGGGATTATTTAACTTCTGTCGTATTTTGTGTGGGGTATTATTGTCAGTTTGTTTCAGGAGGAAAATGAGCAGCATCATCGGCTGAGCTCTGTCGACACTTTTGGTCCTGTGGACCGTGAGCGGAAGTACTCTTGAGCAGTGGGTTGCGGCGGCATTCTCTACTTTTGGAGAGGGGATTGCATTGGGTGGATGCCACACAGTTGGCGATGAGGAAGGACGCGAGCCTTCGGCACATCAGCCCCACCCCAACCTTTGTCCAATCAACTACTCGTCTATTCGACTCCAGAGGACGCGTATTCTGGAAACGAGGACGCAAATGACTATTCTCGAAGTACCATGCACTTATTCTACCATGCAGGCAAATTCTCTCGACTCATGTATGCCTTCCTTGATCCTCATACAGTGTGACAACATTACACAATATTACATCCATTTCGCTGGAATTATGTTTCGAGTATCATTGTTCCGGAACACTTCGTACTTCGTACGTTCCCCTTCAAGACCAATGGAATAATGCTCAAAGCTGAGGACGAGCTTACTGTGAGGAATGGAGATGTCGTATCCGTCGTGTAGTAGCAGAAAGCTCATAGTGGAGGATGCAGTCACGGCCAACTGCCCAGCACCTGTCGTCTAGACTACTCCGAAGTCAGCATGATGCAATAGCTGGGCGAGTACTTAAGCAGTCGCCAGCTAGAGTCAGTAGTCCAGTCTCACCCAGTAACAGCGACAGCTGTTCGTCTACCAGCCAGCCCCGGGCTGCTCTCCTTCGTCTTGTCCCCATTATCCCACGTATTATGTAAACAATAAATATATTAAAATCTCCTTGTTACCTATGTCTACCACCGCTACACCATCAGATGAAAGCCCGTACACCCTTCAGTCTGATATTTCCACGAGTGAGCAACTTTATTGGAGGCCTACGTTTCGGCGTCTTTGCCTTCGTCAGAGCTTGAAATGTGTTCTGGAATGCCTTCAGAACCTTCATCAATTATAAGTGTCATCTAGACACAATGAGGATATTATGTGAATGTGACTTAGGCCCCTAGCAATGTATTTATGACCCTTGGTGAACAGATTAGATAGACCAGGCGCGACCCCGCCTGATGTTAGAGGGACGCCCCTTTTTTGTAAGCATTCTACCACTAGCCGACT